GGCCCATCACCCTTGGACTTATTTCCCCTGACCCCTTGCTGCTGCCACCACCAATGAACCCTTCACCACCACTGCTGCTACCACTGTGGTGGCCACTGCAATAGCCCTTATGACATGGGTGGGATCCAACCTGCAAGGAGCCCTGCAGGCCAGATCCAACTCAAGGCTACAGGGGAGTTTGACACCCCTGGCCTTGAGATATAAATCAAAGCAAGCTATTCTAAGTGGAGGCAAGTGCTGACTTATCCAAGTCTGTGTTTAATTCCATCACTGTCATATACATTGTTAACTTGAGCTAATGCACATTGGTAAATTCCTACAAACTGCAGGATGGATAATAAGAACTAGGGTTGTATAAAACCCCCTATTGGCCGAAGCACTTTGTATATAAATCACTAATGCTGTTATTTGTTGGGGCAGGATAATGAAAAGATCTTTTATAATTGAACTTATTTTACAATGTTCATGTAATAAAGCAAGTAAACTTACATTTCCTTTTTGCTGAACATAACATGTCTTTGCTTATATATCTTAAACCCACATAATCCCTTATTAATGTAATGCACCAAATCTCCTTTATGCAGTTATTAAATGATGATCCTGAACCCCACATTCCTGCAAATAAGTGGTACAGGATCAAGCCCTGAGTGTGATTTCACATTTCACCTTAATGAATGTGATTTTCTAAGACTTGTTTCATACCTTTCATTAAGAAAAATATATTTTCCTTGTAGTATGCTATTAATAAAATCATATTTCTCACATGTACACATTGTAGTATTGCTTCTGAAGAAGAAGATATACCCAGCTAAACTGTCTAGAACCTAGAAAAATGCCTTGGAGATCTCATTATGACAGATTCCTAGGATTTATGTTTCCTTCACCTCCTTGTGTTGAAAGATCATGATTGGTTGGAGGAGTGGATACTGAGATTAATAGATGTTTTATGAGCTTGGACTTGTTGGATGGTGGAAAGAATATTTGGGGGAAATATTGGGTAATCTGGGAAAACTAGAATACCAGTATTTGAATAAATGTTCAAGTTCTAAGATTGTAAGAAGATTGTATGGGGAAATTTCCC